AGGGAATAGACCGAAACCTTTTTTTTGCCTAGAAATCTTGGATAGCAGAAGCAACTGTTGTGAAGTATCTCCCTAAGTGGTAGAGGTGATAGAGTGACTCGCAGCCCAAATTAGTTCACAGTTGTCCTTCATGTCTACCAAGTCCGCCATCCTTCCGGTCTTGGTAAATTTGTACTAGAAAGTCTGGTTTAAATAACTCGCAATGATTTGATGAAGACTGGTAAATTCAAATCACTAAATAGACCATTTTCGCATTCAACCTCCTCCATGATATGAAGTTGAACACAAATGCGTAGGCACATTTCGCCACAAGGTATTGATCAACACTACGGCATATCTTGTCGTCTCAAAACAATATTGCCTAAAAGCATTTTTAATACTTTTTTTACGTTTTATATTTTATATTTTATTTTTTAGTCGACAAATATGACGCAAAATAAGACCGGTTCCTCTAACAAATTTGTGGACAAGGTAATCACCAGGTAATCAAAGTAATGGACAAGCTAAGCAAAACGAAGCATAAGTAGTCACGCTGAGAGACTATCTAGTATATTGGTCAGCTTTTTCTAATAAATGCTTTATTTATGTTGATTCATTTTAGAGTCGTATATTTCAGGCGATGTTCACCGACGCAGATTGAAAATTCGTTCTGAAGGGTCCTGATGATAAAACCTGAAGAACTCTGGCTAGAATGCTCTGCCACATCTGATTAGACCAACTAGCCATTATGATATTGCCAATCTATAAAACACATTTGTAAATTTGAAATGCACAAAAAAAGGGAAAAAAAGTAATAACCCTCAAAGTTCCAGAAATAGATCTTGACGCCTGCGGAACGGCTTGTATGTTGGCCGGCATCATACAGTTGGCCATTGACATCATTGTACATATAGAAGATACAGTATCATCGACAACGAGACAATTATTCATATTATCCATTCGAACTAAAGTAACAGCTTTAATCCTCTTATATTTTTTATTAAAATAAACGCTACATTAAGCGCTTAACAAAGACTGCTGAATGGTGAAACCGATTGAACTTTTCAGCTTCATATGATTTCTGCTTTATCTAATAACCATATTGTGCAAGAGTACTATTCAATGAAGCATATCCACCACATTTTCGAGGTTCTTCAATACGGGTTGACCCCTCATATGTACTTGGTAAAAATAAGACTAATAAACTATAGTATTTCATTATGAGCACGACTATTTTTATCTATGAAAGCATCAGTTCGCTTAATGAAGCGACTGCTGAGACGAAAATAGTAAAAATTACAAAATATAATCGTATGGTTCTGATACTCTTCTGGAATGAAATAAAAGGTAAACTCTTCTGGCTATAAGTTCTATTAAATAATACAATTACCTTTATATAGCGAATATTGCTACTTTTCTCTCCATTCCACTTTAACATCACTCACATCACATATTACTCTCACCACTATCATAACATTCTGATAGGATAAAACTATTAAAGCTTCACATCCTCACTTCATTACTCTGCTTATTTTTTCTATCGAGAATCCTTTTGATAAATCTCTCGAATTTTAGGCATTGGATTCTCCAACCAACCATCCTTCATCCTTTCTTCACTTCGTTTTAGAATAGTGTATTCTCATAGCCACATTCTGCTCTGTATCATCATTGATACGCTGTTTGTTCCTATTCCATATATTTAATAAGAACTCAGTCATCCGAGTTTGAGGTACATCACCCTACTTGTATCGTGCATTGCCCGAGAATCAAACACTGATCGCCCGCATAGCAGACGAGCATTCTTCCATTGAACTAAAGTGCGGACAGAATTCTGAAGGGGAAAGTAGCAACATCTTCGCTCTACTGAAGCATTCCTTCCTTATTGGAGCTTTTATAAATCCCTTGTTGTAAATAAATTTTATCAGGAGCCATGTTTACACAAGCGTTTTACACTCAAGGCTAACGTGAGTCCAACGTGAATTTTTTTGAGTTGACTTGCTAAGTTAGTATGCATACATCAAATGATAAAAATAGAGAGCCGAGCATGCGCGCTTACCTGTGGAGAACAGTTGTTTTAGAAAAGAATAAAGCATTTTGGTAAACCTGATAAATACAACCTGATGGATAAGTTAAGATAAGATAAGCCTTAACGCTGAGGAATCTCTTGCTGCGAGATATGCCTATACATATGTGTAAGCGTGATACCCTAGAGGTGATTGAATGGAAGCCTCGTCTGTACAGTGACTTGGGTTGACCACTCTTCACCAAGTCAGAGATTTTTATCGTACCTAATTTTTCTGGTAGCAATTTATCTACCCCGACAGGATAGCGGGTTTGGAGGTCTGACCGGCAGCCGCAAACACTGTAACACCTCCACCATTGCGGTCGCAACTTGATTGATATGACTGATTATGGAAACGAAAGAAAATGCGGTAAATAATTATTAAGGAAAACAGTTTTTTTTCATAGAAAATGTTTAGGTAATCAAAGTTTTAGATTTTACCTTGATCTTGAGCAATTGCCGAAACGCTAAAACAGTTCAGTGGATTATATGTGACATTGACACTAAGTTGACTCAAAATCAAAGATGTAACCTCAAAAGAGAGGCCAGCGTTGCGACCTTGTTGTTCCAGTACCTCATTTACCTCAAAACAAACGTTATGTGAAGACTTCTAGTTTTTGTTTGAAGCTTAAGAAATTTTGGCAAACACAAGAATTTGCAAAAAAGACCACCATGGAACAGTTTTGGTAGGTAAGTTACATGTAATAGTGGTAATCACTAAGCAATTTGAACTCACTGCACTCATTATCAGATTGAGAACGAATGCTTGAACTTGCATAGCACTCCCTTGAACACTAGGAAAGGTAGAGCGAGGAAGATTTTCAGTGTAGACCATGGGTAACGCCAAAGTGAAACCGTTCACGGTGAATCTCAAAATTCTTTCTGAAAATTTATCTCACCGCAATCGCAAGCTTATGGGCTTTTAAAAAAGTTGAAAAAGCTAAAACGATATTTTGAAAAGGCACCTTCAAACTATTAGAAAAATCAATCTGTGGAACATTTATCAAACTATTCTGTCAAGTTTTCTGAAAGGCTACCTACTAATGACTGATCTACCCTACAATAATGATAATACAGTATGTTTTGTAGCTTGACCTTGTCTATGATCTTCTCATGCTTTTAATGCGTTGATTACTCTGCCTCGAAAGTTCAAATAATTTTACTTTCCGGTAAATCGGACCTTATGCGGAGTGAATCCAAATTTCATTGAATTTTTTTAATAGAAATGTTTAAAATTCGTGCACAAAACGACAAGTAGTAGTACTTTTCGCTTAAATGATAACGATCACGTGAAATCAACAATTAGCTAATGTGTGGAAAACGAGGGAAGCTCAACTGTTAATATAAGTCGGACGAAACATGTTATGAGTTTTCATTAATATTTAGAGTTCTATTATTATGCTTCCATTCGTGAAAACCTCTTTTTTTTGTTTGAGGAGAAGCTAGTATTTCTATTTATGAAGGCTCTCTAGAATTACCCTGTCCGGGTTGAAGTGGTCCGCATCCAAACGCTGCAGGAGCAAAGAATATACACAGCAGTAATGAAAACTCATTGATCACATTGATCAAGCTTTTCATATTCCTCAATCAAAGAAGTTTCTGCAGCTTCTCTGAAATATGTTATATACGTGAAGACTAAAACGTTTAGTAGGAGATTTCTACAGCATTTGACGTCAATGTTTGAAATTTTCCGAAAGTGTAAACAAATGTGTTTGTGATTTAAGTGTCGTTTGATTATCGATTAGATAATGAATGGAATATGTCACGTGAATTACAGTACCCATATCACAAAAGCGATCCAATGGGAATTATCTATCTGCTGCAGGGCATCATCTCTAAAATGATGCAAAGATCTTACTGTACAGCATACATTTGGATAAAAGCCTTGAAATACTGAATCGATTGACACAGAAAGGAGGCAGATGTGCTATTATATAATATTTTGAGGTAGCACGAGGTTCTAGTGATTTTTTAGCTAAGATAATTTCATTGCATAGTGATTATCCTTGTTTTTTTTTTAAATGAAACCTTCTCAACAATAAGTGTGATTTTAATTTTGTAACGCTACACACTATTCCAGAAACCGTAATTTCATGATTGGATTTTACTTCTAACAGTAATTATTGCTTTATATAAGGTGTGATCTACCGTGGTCGTACTTTTATATCGCTTTGGATCTATTGTAATCTGAAGTTATCGTACTTTGGATATCCACAAAAGTTATCTAATACAAAATTCTCGGAAAACGTCAAAAAAAAATTTCAAAAAAAGTTCTGTCAAAAAAAAATAACAGAAAAATACTTATATACCAAACAATTATCCTCAGTGATGATTTTTAGACAAACTATAGCTTTTAAAATTAGTAGACGGAGGTTAATTAAGAAAAATTGATATGTTTTGCTTAGAATAGAATGAGGTAGCAAATATAACTCATTTTAAAATCACTCTCTTAGTTCAAATGCATTAGGATGAAAAAGTAACTCTATTAAATGGATTTCTAAAGTAGTTTGCTTAGAGAGTAAATTATTGAGGATCTCTATTTCTCACTATGATTAGAACGAGTGCTGTTCTGAGCTGTTGCTTTTACCAGAAGAGCGTTACGGTATTCTTTAACCTCAAATATATCTATGATTGATTCATGAGGTTCAAAAATTATCGAAAAAATCATATCAAATGAGAAAATATTTCTTATACCTCTTTGTCACTCTGTATAATGTGAAATGCCTAAAGTAGTTGGTTGATGGCAAAAAAAGTTGACTTCAGACGAGCAAGGCTATTTATTTGTCAGC